ATAAGAAAGAATGAAAAATTTATTTTTTAAATGCGCTATAATATAAGACCAAATGATTTGTTCGGAACTTTTGTACTATTCTTTGTGCGAAAGTCGAATGAAGCTATTTGTATCATGAAGTTGACCTGCAATTGTTTTTCTACCCAGGACTCGTTGGCTCCTCAAACGTCATTCTCACCAAAGAGCCTTTATAGCACAAACACAACCTGGAAACGGCTCGTCATGAGGGCTTAAAATCCTGGTCTCGACATCACTTGGGTCAAGCTGAGGTCAGATATGCTAATCATCCCTTACTGGGCGCGATTCAACTCTGAGCATTGGACTGGGACCCATTTATGAAATGAGGTCTTCTCCTAATTTTAGCATGCATGACTCGACCCTGCAACGTGTCTACCTCTTGGTCTGCACACTCTGGGTCCGAGTCCTGCAAGAATGCAGGTTGTGCCTGGCCTGAAGAGCACTCTTGAGGCGCCAGGTTTGAAAAAGTCCTTCCGCTTTCCTCACTCCATGTCGTGCAGGCCAACTACCTCTCCGCGTTGAATGCATGTAAAATTAGTTTGGCCAGTCAATTCACATGACGTCGTAAGCATGTAGGCATAATGACGGTGGATACTCACGAGTATGACACTATTTGTACTTCATATTTACTGTTTAGGCCTAAACTAGCTTGTCCCATCTCCTCTGATGGGAAAGAGCGATAAGATTCGGAAAAGAATAGCCACTTTGAACAATTTAAGCGGTTCCGGGCGTCTTTTGTTGAAAATGGCCAGTCATTCGAGACATTCTCAAGCTCTCTTAAATGACTTTTAATGGGGAGATCATCACAAAACGCTGGATCGAGGTGACTTCGCCCAAGAAAATGGCTCAACCTTTAAAACCACCATCTGCTTTCGGCCCCCTTCGAAAAGTTTACCAGTACTTTATTTGCATGTAAATGTAAAAATGTTAATTTTGACCTAAACCTCATTTCCTTCGTGTTCTCCTCCTCATGTCGACGTCCGACTCAATTTTCTGCCTTAACTACCCTAATTACAGACAATCAATCAGGGTCAAAGAAGTCGAGTAGTATGCCGTAAGATCCTTATCATACTCATTGTCCACGGGGGTGGGAATACAGCCCAGTATTCGTCTGCATGCTGGTGGGAATTCCCAAGTCTCCCATCTCAACCCGTTCGTCCGTATCGTATTTCCGTCATCATTCCCCTTGGCTCTTTATATCGTCCCATTTCCCATTTCCCATTTCACCACCATCAACTAGCGAAAAGCCGATGAGCCGAGAAAACATTCTCTTAAGCCTGAATGACCGAGGCTTGGTGCTGCCATGTGAGCGCAGGGTAGCGCATGCCTGTGAGCCGATGGCATTCTTGCACAGTGCAAGTCCCTGTGCTCGTAAACTCTGTGCATACACAAATTTGCACGCATTTCTGAACGGGTTCGGACTGTTCGATTGCGATACGATCTCAGCCACACGCCCATACGCCCTCGGTTGAAAATCTTATTGTTCTGAACGCGTGTCTTTACTGGGACTTGAGATACCACGGTAAGAACCCAGGCGTGTGGGTCCATTCGGGGGGAAACCTTAAAAGGCGAAAAAAACCTGGATAGTACCCATGGCGAAGGCCCAGATAAGGGGGACTAGGAGACGAAGTGGGGGCTGGCATTGAAAATGGGCAGCATGAGGATTTATTAGTGGCTAAAAGTGTGTGGCGGAGTTGGCTGGCCACACTAGGCGCCCACGCATATTTCGGCACACATTAGAGGGACGAAGCTTTATACATCCATATATACATACATACATACATTCATACATACATGTAAGCATGCATACATGAATACATACATATATACATGCAAATACACATATATACATACATAAATTCATACCTACATGCCTACCTACATATATACGCACACATACATACATACATATATATGTATACACACATTCATACATACATTTATAGATGCAAATACACATTGATACACACATGAATTCATACTTACATACCTACCTACATATATACACACACATACATACATAACTACATACATATGTATATAGAATGATTCGTCTTTTGATGTAGAATGACACGCACTTGCTTGTTTTGAGATGCAAACGAGGCTAGGCAGGGGATGGTGGCGAACCGGATGGACAGGTGGATCGAGTCGGACCAGCAGGTTTCGAGATGGTCAGGCAGG